TCGCATAATTTCGCATAAATCGAAAAGTAATGCATGCAGAATTTGGGGTCTGTTGCCGCAGAAAATGATGAGCCCTACCCTAGGTACTCCGATAATGAAGTGTGGGGGGAAATTAATAAACCAGTACGAGTACGAAGTAGATTCCGAACCTGTTTTTTTATTTCATTCCCCTTGTATATCAGTACTATTTTCAAGATGCCCTGTGGTATTAACTCTCACGGTTACGTAAAACCCGATACATGTGATTTAGCGGGAATTTTTTATTTTGACTGCTTATAAACTAAAACTTGACTTAAAACTTGAATTGATAACGCTGATTAGCTATAACGATAACGATGATTAGCAAATTTTTAAACGGCAATTACGTAGTATTTTTTGGTCATGCTTAGAGGGATTGCTTATCGTTATCAATTTTTCTTAAAAACAATTAAAATAATAAACAAACCAGTGTAACTCCGTTGGTAAGATTCGTAACATGTGGTTTTAGATTGCGTATCGTGACGCTTTAGAGTTTTCCCGAATCAATAGTTCTAAGATCGTAGCATTGATTAGCTGTGGTTGTTATGAGACGACGATTCAAGTAGCTGGGGATAGAAGGAAAAGAGAAGAAAAAATTATTATATTTGGTAAACTATTAATACATAATAGGCATTATAGAAAGCATGCATAAAAAGTACGCAGTAAATATCTGATATGTAAATATGTAAAATCGATTGTATATATCTGATATACGTACGTACGTATAAGGACGAGCATTTGCATTGTAGCAATCTTTACCATTTTATTTATATAATATACTTAAATAAGGAATATTTTTTACGTAAAATTTTGACACGCACTCTTTCGAATTATCCAAATTACACATGCATTAATACCTTTCTAATTTAGTTGTTCATTGGACCCTGATTTCCGAGAATCTTTGTCATCAAATATATCAAACAAGGTATCAAGTGACCTTCGATTACAGTTGTTACGAAGCTTTTCGTATCAATTTCGATATTATTTATGCAACATGACATAAGTATCAATCCTGACTCCGTGCCTTCTCCTTAAAAATTATCTCCTTCCGAACAGCTTAAACTAGATCGTTATCGTTATCGGAATATAGTTATCTAATTTCAAGAAATAGTCAAGTTTAGACAAGTGACTATAAATCCATGTGGAATTTAGCGTTAGGGGTGACCTAATTTCTCCCACCACTATCGGAGAACTATTAATAACACAGATACTCCGATATGTGAATAATTAGTAGAACCAATCAGAAGTGGTGGGGGAAATTAGTAAATTCTGGTGCATTATTACCAAAATTAATATACGTATTAACATCATATTATGAAATAATACATCACTGAAACTTGGATTTTAACATAAATGGGATTACTATCAGTATTGTACGTATGGGTGACCGGAATTGTTTGGTATGGGGGTACACAATACCTATTCTAAACACAATATCATACGCACGTACGTACTAATCTGATAATCCTACGTACGTACCCGACCAGGTTACCCATACCAAACTGATATTCAAATGGGTTAATGATTACGTACAAAATGTTGAATACTTTGTTTGTGAATTGATTTTTACGAATTTGATTGATTATTATAATTTATATATTTTATATACGCATAAAATTAAAATCAAGTGACCTAATATGAGACTTTTAAGCTCAAAATTGGTAGTTATAGAAGCCTATTTATATTTTCGTATTCGGAAAGTGATAATAAACACTACGTATAACAAATCGGACACAAGATTGACACATGATGGCAATTTATGAATGCCATTTATTACGAATTAAACTAATCATTATATCATTACGTGATAAGGTTTCACAAAATAAAATTTACAATAAAATCCATCGTTATTTCGAGAGAAGAAAATAAAATACATTAAGCACTCTTTTCCACTATAAAAAGACTTGATCAAGCAATGTTTGTTTTGCTTCTTTTTTT